TGAGATTAAATGGAAAAGGATCTAAAATAGTCAAAATAATCTTGAAAATGAGTAGATATGATACAGTTACACTGTTATTTCAATAATTATTGTATCTTATTCTATAATAATACTAGACAAATATACCTAAAGCATATTTCAAGAACTTAATAATAGATCAATAGGAGACTAAAAAGCCTCACATAAGTGTTTTCAGTTACTTTTGCAACAAAGTCTTAGTCAAGTCAGTGAAAAGTAAATATTTACAAAATGATGCTAGAATTAACTGGATATTTTTATATTAAGAATGATTTTTTTGATCCCTACTTTTTTCAACATATAAAAACTAATTTTGCTGGCTCATGAAACTGACTATAAAGCTAGAGGCAAAAATATTCTAGAAGAAAGTACAGGAGAATAACTGCAATCTTGAAAGATGCCGAGATTCTTAAATAGCATATAAAACACCAAACAACAGAAGTTTGCATTTACTTTTCCTATTGTAAATGTTTTCAGAGAATATTTTAAATGTGGATCTAGGCAACATGGAATCATGGCAAGATCATGGCCTTGAGAAAAGGGTTACCTGGTTACATTAGTTTGGTAAACACTGTGTTAAACACTATTGGATTCAGTGTAAGAATTACTCATACTTTCCACAGGCTAATGTGCTTTTATGTTCTGTAAAACAGGTATTTGGTATAATATTTTCTAAATTTCTTTCGAATTATTAAAAATAAATTTATCACAAAATTTCTGTTTACATCTTACACTTCGTGTAGTATAAGGAATATGTCTCAGGAAGTAATAAATTACAGGTATCTTGGTTATTTGGTCACCAAGATCTAACTAAACATTTTATTTCTCCTTTTTTCTTATTTTATGAGGCATTATCTTTACGAGTTTTTCCTCAAGTGTGTCTCTGAGAGATAGCCCTGGATTACTGTTATTTTATTTCAAGCTTCCTGCTTTATCAGTTTGTTAAATATTTGTCAAAATTATTAGTAGTTTCTATATAGATATCAACTTCTCTTCTGCATTTTGTAAAATATCTACAGATTAAGTTTTATACATATACCCACACACAGGCACAAACACATGTGTAGAGTGCCTGTATGAATGTGTATACATGTATTTACACAGCACATGTAAAGGAAAATCCTATAGTACCTAGTAGATTTTTCTATGTAGGCTACCATTCAAAATAACCACATTGTTATTTTCTGTGCTTCTAAAATAAGATGAGATAGGACATGTTTAGGGGACATAACTACACGTCAAGAGAATCCCAATTCCTTAATCTAGTATTAAATCTTCTACAATCTTGTCATACTCTACTTTCAGATATAACTTCCAATATAAGTTTTCTAAAATTAGTTGCCAAACAACATAGTATATCCTCCTACATTTAGTAGATAAACATTGCTGAAATAAGCAACTCATTCTTTCTAAACACCTTTGCATGCCGTTCCTTATGCTATTCCATGTATCCAGAATTCCTTCAGCTTTCTTCAAAGCTTGGTGTCAAATTACCCTCAGCAATGTGCTGCTGCTATTTCCTTCAGCTGGAAAGGAACTCCTGTTGTGCTAAATACTATTAACATTTTCAACTTCTACTTTAAAATTAAAGCACTACTGCAGTTGAAAGTGTGTATTGAATCCTTACTATATATTGGTTCCATAAAATTTACAATAGTAAATCCCGTATAGACTTTTGCACAATTTCATACACAGTCAACTTCTAACAAGTGCTTGCACAATAACTGGCTGTTTCTAAAAATCATAGATATTTTTGTTTTTCTTTAAACTATTTAAAAATATATCCATAGAAAATGTCATGATTACTCTTAGGCAATATTAGTTAAGTACTCATGGAACTTGGTATATAATAGGTTTTGGTAGGCTTTAGTTGTGTAGTGAAGAAGCTACTAAAGTGTGAAATTGCTGACTTCTCAATTTATATACAATGTATATTTGTAATTATTTTGTTAATTAAACCAGTGATTGCATTATTTTTGGTACCATGTATATAATATAGACATTATATTTCTTGTATTCTTATTAATGGAACTATTTGGTTTTCATTATCTGATGTCATTCATTCAACACATTTTATTGACTACTTATGTTCCAGGCCCTATGCTAGGCAATGGATATTGTGCTTAGAAACAAAAATAAACAAGTAATTCTTTATCCCCCCCCCCTCTTTCTAACAGAGATAAAATGTAGATACAATACTTTAACATTATGGTAAAGTCTATGAAGTCAAGTAGGCAAGAAATGTTGACTAGATTTGATAGATAGGAAAAACTTTTTTGAAGAAGTAATATTTAAGCTAAAAGGTGGGGAGCTACTCACGTAAAGAACAGGGAAAAATTTATGACAGAACTGTTCAAAGAAGCCATTATAATCTGAGCAACCAAATATGTGTAAAATCTTTTCAGTGCCTCTAACAAACTGGTTCTCTGAATTACCCCCAAAATAAGATAAATTTAGTATATGATTTTAAGTGGTTTCCCTGAAAAAAAGAAAAGGACAAAAAAATTGTCTCAGGGAGTATATAATAGATTTTTATAAAGACATGGAAAATTTGAAGTATAGACTTTTTTTTTGTACTCTATAGAAAAAACAGAATGGAGAGAAGAGGGCAGAAATATTCCTAATTATGGCCATTTTGCACATAGCATCATCATGAGCTGGTTTCCTCTCTTCCTTCCTCCCGTCTTTTCTTCCTCCCTTCCAAGAAATGCTTACCACAAACATTTTGAAATCCTAAAATAATATGATTAAATATATTTTATTTTATACTCCTGCTTATTGGAGTACTTAAAAGTTTTTAACATCACGGTTTAATTTAAGATTGTGGAATGTGAAGGTTATCTGAAATATCATGAATTGTGCATAAATAATAAGTTCCCACAGTAATGCCTAATTATACTTCAATTCATTATTACTAAAGAAAATTTTGATTTATGTTAAATGTTCCGCATTTTCACAACTGGAGCAGAAGTCAAAAGATTTAAACATGTAAGTGCTGTGAAAAGTCATCTTTTCATCCAGCCGGAGAAACTTTTCATTGCTACTTCATGAAATGATCAAGTTTGTTTTGTGTTGCAACAGGAAATACAAGGAACAATTTTAAATTAAAAAAATAGAGGAGACATATCAGTGTATATTGCTAATTTACCCACAGTTAGATTGCTGTCATGCATGCTAAAAACCCTTTAGAAAGTTTTCACTGATTGCTTTCATTTAACTACCTCTTCGTCATTTATTGGCTTAATTTTACACAAAATGGAGCACACTTAAAACCTAAGGGAAGGCATTACGTTTTAGTTTTACATACCCCATCCTGGTAATAATAAAACAAAGAAGGTTTTTTGCATTTGCTAAATATACCACATCCAAAAAATAGATCTGCGTTAAAGTCTCTCAGCACAATTTTAACACTCAAAAATAAGTATCTCTTCCTTTCATGTTCCTTTCAAATTTGAACCAGTATCTGTCTCATTTTCCAAGATATGCCATTTTCTTCCAAAACACATAGAGTAATAAAGTGGGATTTCCACAGTAAAAGACTATATTGTGAATGGGAAAAATCTTTTATTTTCCAAAGTTTTTAGTTTATTTTTTCAGTGAGACATGTTTTGAATCAACTTACCATTTTTGTTCCACTATAAATTAATGCATTTAGATACATATCCTTTAGGAGCTGTGGAAATGCATTCATCAAGAGCTAGGCCATTATTGGGAAACAAATTTTTAACTACTTAATTATCAGCATAAATGACTGTGCTAATAGCAGAAGGACTGGTTAATTTTTTGTTACAAACACCTGTATAGATAGTTAAGTTTTTGGCAATCACTGTGCTGTTGAAACATTCCAAGAGCTCACACAACATATGTTCAGGTTACAAGTCTTTTAAGAGAGAAAAATTCAGTAGCAAGAGTCTATATGAATCAAGCATGCACCATGCTTCAGCATAGGTCTGATGACCCCTGAATGTGACCTGCTCCCAGAGGAAACCAATTTAATGCTCCATCACACTCAGAACAGTATTTATGAATCACAAAACCTCCAGATAAATTAGCGACAGGTACATCTGAATAGGATTCCTTCTAAATCACTTATCTGCAGCCAGGCAAGCTTGTTTCACTCTCACTTTCAAAGATAAAGTCACATAGCATGTTGCCTTGGCAGATTCTCACAAAGCAAACAGCCCTCATTGTCCATCAGTAGAAGGAGAAAAATCCCCTTATTTTTTCAGGTATGCTGTGTGGGTACTGTGACAGCAAATGGGATAAACTGAAAACTATCTGCCAGTAGAAAATTCGTCAGTCAATACCAGGCTTTATGTCTTCTCTAACTTTTTCATAAGCTTTGTGCCTCTTGCTCTCTTCCTTTGATTTTTGACAGTTCTGATACCCTAGAATTGTAGCTGTGGCAAAGTTCAAGAACAAAACAGCAGGTTATCAAAGACAACTTATCAGAGTCCAAACAGGGAGAAGACAAATGCCAACAATTAGTAAACAACTGAAAGACAAATATATGACAGAACAAGAAAGAAAGGGACACCAAGCTTTGATCTTTGACTACTTATTCCGTTTGAAAAAAAACAAAGGAAAACTGAAATGCTAAATATATGCTAAGTACTTAGGGATATCGGTCATAGAGAAGATAAAAAAAAATAAATTATTTGCAAAATAACATGGAAAATGCAAGGGATCCTCTTTACATATCTTGTCAACATAAATTGGAATATCAAAACTATATGAAACTATGCTTTAAATTGAGTATCAATGATCAGCACAAATATATTATCTGTTTCAAGGTTGTCTTTTAAATTACTAGAATTCTTTTAAACTGAACAATGAAACAAACATCAATTTTCATTTTCTGCATTTCTTACAGTCTACAATTATACTTATTTAAGACTTTATATCTATCTTAATAAAAGCCATGCCAAATCACTGGTCAGTTTGTTAATATAGAATTCAACAACACAAATAAAAGAACTCACGTTTTAGGTTCTGTTGATAATCCTTCTCAGGCAAAATCAGAGTTGTGTTTTCTGCTTGAGTCTGTGTTAAACCAAAAATTACAAAAATCAGTTTCCCATGCCACTGCCAAATAGAATGCATGCAAATAAGCCCTCAGTTAGTCAAGGAGAAAAAATTGCATTAAACAATATGCATCCGTAAATTTTGTCCTTTCTAATGCAGGTAACATTTGTCCCTTTTTTCTCCCCATATCTTTGCAAAATTTCTGCCCAATGAACTCATTACGGTAGATAGTCAACTACAACTATGGTCAGCTAATGAAACTCAGGTCCAGAATTAACCTCTATAAACATAAACAATGATTAGGCATCTGGAATTGGGAGAGACAGGAGTGATGCTGGGAAGGAAAAAAAATAAACTATAGAGTTTAGAGAATATTCAGTCTGATAGGTTCATAGCTAAATTAACTGTTGTCCTACATATGAGGTGATTCATAGGATTCTAAATATGTAAAACATGAAAGCAAAAATATTTTGAAAACCAGTACTATATCCAATGACACTTTTGGGGATATAAATACAGCTACTAAATTCACCTTCTTTGAAATAACATCGGTCTAGTTAGATTGCATATATGTCCTTTAATGTCACAATAATTTAAGCAACGTTAAACACCATTTTAAATACCCAAGAACTTCAGTTAGCAGGCAATAAAACTATTACATCTGCTCTATCTAGCTACAATGTTTATACTGAGTTATTTATTTATAATACACTTTAATGTCACCAGTAATTTCTTAGAAGCTTCAGTAAATAGAGAAATAAAATGTTCAATTAAAACATTAAACTATGTGGGAAGCACCATATTATAATAATGCTAAATTTTTTATGAATTAGAAAAATATGACAAAGTAATTAGAACAATTAGTTCAAATTATTTAAAAAGCCAAATGTCATCTGTGTATTGTTCAATACATTATTTAAATAATGTAAATACAAACTCATGTTTATAGTCCTAATTCACTAATGACCAAGAGTTTTCTAGTGTATAAAGGAGTGTTCAAATTTTCTGGTTCTAATTATCCGTTAAGTCAACAAATAGATCTTGACTAAGAAGATCTTACAATTACCCTCAATTTGACTAAACGTAAGGCAAGTTTCTTCCTGAATAGGCCCCTGACCTCCCTTTTCTGAGAACATTTACTTTATGTATTTATTATTTTTATTTTTTAATTTCAAGCAACAATTTTATTGCAATGAGTCATACGCTATATAATTCACTCAAAGTGTACAATTCAATGGTTTTTAGCATACTCAGGGATTTGTGTAACCATTACCACAATCAATTTTAAAACATCTTCGTCACCACAATAAGAGCATTTACTTTAAACTTGCAATTGTGAATTATTTTTCCTGTCCTTTGGGAGAGATATAAACCTTCTCCCAACCTCTTGCCAGTTTTACAACCCAGATAAGTCTTCCTCCAGGACTTCGAAGCCATCCCTTTGAGATGGAACCATCAAGATCGTGCCTCTGTCTCCTTGTCCCAGTTGAGTAAAGGAGCTTCACTTCAGTGAGCACCATTAACAAACATAGATGCCTCAATGGCAACCTCCCCACTAAAATCACCCAGTGTTTTCCTACTCACTCAGCTCAGCTCTTAAAAATCTCCCACCTTGTATTTCAGCAGAGTTAAGTTCAGTATCCTCTTTTTTGCAATAGTCCTGAATAAAGCCTCGTCTAACTCCATCTGACACACCTGGTGAAACAGTTCTTTCACATTCTCAAGGTCTGTTATGTGTCAGCACCCTAGCAATTTGGTGGTGGAGAAGGTAGACACTGCACTTTGCCTTCATAGTACCTAGAATTTAGCAGGAGACTAAGGCACAAAAATTGACAATTAAAGTAGAATGTGGTCAATCCCATGACTGCAAGAAAAGATTGAGGGCACTAATTAAAGTAGAGCAGATGATGACGAAAATAAGTGTCATGGAATCCATCACTTCACAGCTGATGAGGTACCATCCTGGTAAACTGAAACAGAGAACGTGCTCCAAGGAGAGGGTCCTGCATGCATGAAAGCCCAAAAGCAAAATATGCATTTTAGTGCAAAGAAAAGTAAGATCAGAAGGGCTGGGTGGCATGTGGGGGAGTGGCAGGAAATAAAGCTAAGAAGCATCCGGAAGGAGCTAGGAAAAGATGTTCATTCAATCATATAGTTACTAATTTTTCTTTTTATTAGCATATGTAGAGGAGATGTGATATAACTTAAGGTTCAATGCCAAGGGCTCTGGTATCAGACTACCAGGCTATGAAATCTGACGCTCTCTCATAGTTGTATGATATTAAGTAATCTAACCTCTCTCAGCCTCAGTTTCTCCCTTTCATAATTGGAGATAATAATAATACTCACTTCATGAGGTTTTGTGAGTATTAAAAGGGAAATCTCACATAAAATATTTACCATGAGTCCTGGTACATTAAGAATGACCTGTTATGAGGATGGTATGAAGATGATGATAAAAAGCAACCTAATAATATTGGAGATGAAGTACATATGCTATACCAGACCTTGAGGATCAAGTAGAAGAATTTGAAAGAATGAAAAACTGATGAAGTCCCTTCAAAGTGGAGAAATATAACCAAGTTTGTATTTTTGAAATAGCATTCTGATTACTGTTCAAACAAAGTTTGGAAAGTTGGAAAGTGAATGCTATAATCGAGGCCTGAGAGAAGAGAGAGTAGCTAAACTTTGAATAAATATTTGAAGGTATATTAATTAAAGGTCAATGTGTGCAGAGTGATGGGTTTAGATGGGTTTAATGGAATAGCCTGGTAATAGGGTAAACATACCTCTGTTTATTAACTGATGTATGCTTTTAATTTTTAATAAGACAACTTTTCATTCATAAAAATGTCACCATTTAGATGATAAACCATGTAGTAGATGTCTTTGTGAGCATCAATTAGTGTATATTACAAGGGGAGTTTTGTTTCATCAAGCAAGTCAGTTGAACAGATGTTGTCTCCAATATGTAATGCAATAGCAATCTTAAGACAAAGAGGTAATATTTACTTTAGCATATATGCATTTGTCATCACTGCTTTATGCTATTACTTGTATCAACTCATTAGTCCTAGCAACAATCCTTTGGATATCATTGTTATTTCCTTTTTACACATGAGAAGATTGGAGCACATAGAGGCTAAGTAATTTGTCCAATTCACATATCATATGGAGGAGCATGGATTCCATAGATTGAAACCAGAGAGTCTAGATCCAGAGTCTACACTCTTAATTCCCATGTGAAAAATACTAGAAGGAAAAAAAAGATGATGGCATGAGAGGAGAGACAGAGGATTCCTCCTAAAACTGGATACAATTAGAAAATTTAATTGGTGCAACTAATCCTGAGAGAGCAACAGGAAAGAGGACACGTCAGACTGAACACACCTGGAGAAAAGAGCAGACCTCATGGAACAGGGTAACTTACCAGAGCTGTGGCTCCGCAGGATCTGAGCCCCTCCCCCACCCCAGCTCACCAGCAGGAGGAAGACAAACAGAGCAGGGAGGGAGTGGAAGGACTGGGACTGCTGAATACCTAGCTCCGGAGATCTGCGCTGGGAGCACAAACCTGCATTTCATGGTGCTTCCATGAGACTCACATGACTACC